TGTCCTCTATCACCACTCCTATTCAATATAGTTCTGGAATCATTAGCTACAGCCATTAGACAAGAGAAAGAAATAAAAGGAATAAGAATAGGTAATGAAGACATTAAATTATCAGTATTTGCAGATGACATGATACTTTACTTGGAAGACCCAAAAAACTCCACCAAGAAGCTATCAGAATTAATACAGAAATTCAGTAGCATAGCAGGACAAAGTCAATACCCAAAAGTCAATATAGCATTCTTCCACATAGATAACAAACACACTGAGAAGGAAATTATACAAATAATATATTTTATAATAGCACCGAGTAAAATGAAATACCTTGGAATTAACCTAACTAAAAAAGTCAAGGATCTTTTCAAGGTAAATTACAGTACTCTGAAAAAAGAGATTGTAGAGGACTTGAGAAAATGGAAAGATATTCCATGCTCCTGGATAGGAAGAACCATCATTAGGAAGATGGCCATACTCCCAAATTTGTTGTACAAATTTAATGCAATCCCTCTCAAACTACCACCAACATACCTCACAGAGCTAGAGAAATCATTCCTAAAATTTATTTGGAACCAGAAAAGACCTACAATAGCAAACACAACCCTGAGCAATAAAGACAAAGCAGGAGGCATTACAATTCCTAGTTGAAATTATACTACAAGGCTACTGTGATAAAATCAGCATGGTACTGGCAACAAAATAGATCTGAGGATCAATGGAATAGATTAGAAGACACTAAAGCCACTGCAAACACACTCAGGCACCTTATCTTTGACAAAGGTTCCAAACATACTCACTGGAAGAAAGAGAGTCTCTTTAACAAATGGTGCTGTAAAAACTGGCTCTCTACATTCCAAAAAGCAAAACTTGACCCATATCTATCACCATGCACTACGCTAAAGTCAAAATAGATTAAAGATCTAAACATTAAAACACAGACACTAAATCTCCTGGAAGAGAAAGTAGGAGGAACTCCTGAAAACATAGGATAAGCAAAGAGTTCATGAACAAATATCAAATCGCACGGGAAACACTTGAAAGAATTAACAACTGAGACCTGCTCTTATTGAGAAGTTTTTTCACATTAAAAGAAATTACCTACAAAGTGAAAAGACAACCCACAAATTTGGAAAAAATCATGACAGATAAGCACTCAGATAAAGGTTTGCTCCCTTTATATAATGGAGTATTACTTTTTATATAATGGAGTATTACTCAGTTATAAAGAATGATAAACTCAAAATCCTTATATTGAAATGGATGCCACTTGAAGATATACTCATAAGTGAAATAAACCAGACACACATGTGTAAATATCGTATAATTTCCCTAGTATAAAGAACTAAAGAATTAAAATTTATAAAGAACTAAAAAAACA